TAATTACCTCTTCTCTCTCTCCTCCTCCCCCGCCCCTCACTCCCCCCCCTCCCCCCAGAGCCCATCAGCGTGCACGTGTCCCGCGGCGCCTCGTGGTGGACATGGGCAAGACGGCGGAGTTCCGGGTGCGTCGTGCAAGGCCACCCCATCACCTCCGTCACGTGGCTCAGGAACGGGAAGAGTCTGCCGCCCGATGGAAGGTGGGTGCACGAACAGGTCTGGGGGGGGTAGGGAGGCTCTTGGGGTCTTGGGGGGGGTTAGGGGGGTCTTTAGCAGGTCTTGGGGGTCTTGGGGGGGTGTTAGGGGGGGTCTTTGGGGGGTTTCTTTAAAGGGTCTTGGGAGGTGAGTATGAGGGGGAGGGGGCGAAATGCGCTCCTCCTTCCATCCTCCCGTGAAGATGAAACCACAAACCCCCTTCATCATTTCCCTTGCCATAAATCCCCGAGATACATTTTATATACATCAACCGAAAAAATCCTATACTCTCCCCCTTGGAGCAGACCTTTTCTTTAATTCACTTTGCAACAAACCCCCTCCTAGTCCCCTTGCACTCCCCCCCCCTCCCCGATATCCTGTTTTCTTCGCTAGCAATGAAAAAAATCCCCATTCATCTCCTAGTAAAATGCCCCTTGTAATGGGCAACAGATTCCTGCACATCCTCTCCCAGCAGTTAATTCCAATTTTATTTCCTATGGCAATGAATTCCCAAACTGGATAATCAATAAATCCCTAGATGTCTTCCCATTAGCAACACCCCCCCCCCGACCTCCTACCAACAGATCCCAGATATTTCCCCCTAGCAAAGAAAAAAAAAGTCCCCAATTTCTTCCCCTAGCAACCCACCCCAATTTCCTTCCCCTAGCCGTAGCCCCAATTTCTTACATTTGGAGTAACACCTTCTTATGAATCTATCTCTTTATATACGCGATTATAACACACGAATATACACAAGGGGCATACACACCCAAAGCAACATCATGCTCTTTAGATTCTTAGCTCCTTCCCTCTACTAACGCCCCCCCCCCTCTCTCTCTCTCCCCGACAGGTTCGTGACGTCCCCGCGGGAGGTGCTGACGGTGCACAAGGTGGGGAAGGACGACCGGGCGATGTACCAGTGCGTGGTCACCTCCCGACACCATAACATGCAGGCGGCGGCGCAGCTGGCTCTAGGAAGGTGGGTGGGGTGGGCGAGCGAGGCGGGCGCAGGGTGGGGCGGTTCTCCTATAACGCGTCGGTCGTGCCTTCGTGCACAGCTATTATTTCTGCAACTGATACTGTTTCCATGTATTATTTTTCGTGTGAGGCTAATGATCCCAATCGCGCTGTTCTTGTCATGTGCTTTATCTTGAAGAGCAATTACTTCTACTACTGCTGATTGCCATGTACTTCCTATGCAACTGCTGCCATTGCTAATGTTGTCATCTATCTGTCTGTTTTACTGCTTCTACTGTTATTACTAAGGTAACTAATGACCTATTGCAGCTGAAACTACTGCTGTTTCGCTAACTATTATAGCTGCTTCCATTGTCATTGTTCATGGTAACGTTACTAATAAGTGAAGTACTATATTTGGAGTATCACAAACCCTAGGCTTTTACTGCCGATTTTCCTATTTCTGTGATAACTGCCTTTATCTCCACTCAGTTAATGTTGAATGTATTTGTGATAACCATCTTTTTAGGAATCAAACTTTTATATAAGCGATTCTTGATAACCATTATAAAAATACGAATATACGCAAGGGGGATACGCACCCAACGCAACATTATGCTCTTTAGATTCTCAGAGACGGGGAAAAACTAGCATCTACATCTTTACTGCGAGAGTGCAGGCGAAGGACAGAAAATCATATCAAAATCGAACAACAATACATTGAGCGTAACAGGGTCGGTACAATAACAAGCGCGAGGGCGACGACAGCAAACACTTTACGCATGTTTGTTTACAATCGGTTGGCCCGCGCTGCCAGCTGTACGACGAGGGTTGCAGGTGATCGGGCCAGGTTATTCTAAATTAATTGGAGCTCGTGTGTAAAGCCGGGAAAAGGAGGGGGAGGAAGGGAGGGAGGGAGAGGGAGGGAGGAAGGGAGGGAGAGGGAGGAAGGGAGGGGAGGGAGGGAGGGGAGGGAGAGGGAGGGGAGGGAGGAGGGAGGGAGGGAGGGAGAGGGAGGGAGGGGAGAGGGAGGGAGGAAGGGAGGGAGAGGGAGGGAGGGAGAGGGAGAGGGAGGAGGAAGAGAGGGAGGAGGGAGGGAGGAAGAGAGGAGAGGGAGGGAGGAGGGAAGGGAGGAAGGGAGAGGGAGGGAAGGGAAGGAAGGGAGGGAGGAGGAGGGAGGGGGAAGAGGGAGAGGGAGGGAGGAGAGAGGGAAGAGGGGAGGGGAGGAAGAGAGGAGAGGGAGGAAGGAGGAAGAGGGGAGAGAGGGAGAGGGGAGGGAAGAGAGGGAGAGGAGAGGGAGAGGAGAGAGGGAGAGGGAGGGAGGAAGAAGAAGGGAGAGGGAAGGGAG